CTCCCTCTACTACTCTCCTGGTTCATAGTTTGGCCCCTGACGGCAACATACAGTGCAAAAAATAAAAACGAAACATAACGTCACGCACCCTAGGCAATAATTTCAGCTTGCTAAATCTATACCAAATATTTCTCCACGAGTACATGGGGAACAGACCCTCAACAGGGGCAACACACTTACTCACCAGTAACCTACACAAAACCCGTATTCGAATGTTTCTCCGTTCCCTAACCAACAACAAGGCCCGTAAAACAGTTTCACATTCCCTCAATTCAACGCTTCCATACCACTTCTTCAACCTCATATATACCTGTTCTATATTTCCCCCCATCACGCCCACACGCAATACCTCCCATTTAAGAAACATACATTTAGCCCTCTGTCTTAGATCCATCAATCCCAACCCACCCTGACACACCGGTAACATAACAACCTCTCTTCTTAACCAATCACAACTTGATCCCCACAAAAATTTAAACACCCTTCTCAAAATTCCCGCAATCACCGTCCCTGTAATCGGGAACACAGCCGCAACATGCCAAACCTTACTATACAATAAAACATTTACGACAATCACACGTTGGGCCAGAGTGAGATGCTGGGGCCTCAAAACACCCAGACGTCCCACGATCCTTTCTAACAACCTATCCGAGTTTTCCTCATGCGCCACATCCATGTCATCCTTGTATATAATACCACAAATCTTTAGCGACACTGCACACTTTTTAACAACATTACAACTCACCTTACCCCCCCCTTTCCAAGTGCCCAACCCCATGATCATTGACTTCTCACTGTTTACCTTCATACCCGTGGCACGTTCAAACACTTGCACAACATCTTCCAACACTTTCATAGACATCCTTTCACGAATCAGAACAGTCATATCATCTACGTAACCTATTAATCCCGGCCAAAGCATCCCTCCCTCAACCCCAGCCTCACCCCGGGTACTGACGGTACGTTCAACCATTCTATAAAAGGGGTCCTGTAAACACGCAAATAAGATCTGTGACATGGGACACCCCTGCCTGAGACCTCTACCCATCGCAAATTCCCTCCCCATACACCCATTTATTTGTACCCTCATTTATGCTCCCCTATACAGCGTATTTACCCAATCAACTATTTCTTCCCCAAAACCTTGTCTCCTAAGTATACCCAGCAGTGCACGCCTTTCCACTCTATCATAGGCTGCCTGCCAGTCTAAAGCCAGTAAAGCCGCCCCTCTCCTCCTCCTTTTGACTCTACAAAACTTCTCAGAATCCCGTGTCCTTCAGTCATCGACCTTCCGGGCAGCCCAAACTGCGATTTCGAAACGACCCTCCCACTACACATTTAACCCTATTACCTAAAATTTTTTGCAAAAACCTTATAGTCCGCACATAACAACGATATTGCCCAATACTCCCGAAGGGTGGGCTGCCCCTTACCTTTCGGGACTAGCACCACAACTGCTGTAGTCTGCCTATCTCCTAACTTACCCTTCTCCTTCATACAATTAAATAACCTAACCATGAAATTTCCTATCAACGCCCAATGCTGTAAATAAAATTCCACCGGTAGACCATCAATACCTGGGGCTTTTCCCTTCCTCATGCCCTGTAAAGCAATCTCTATTTCCTCTGCAGTAATAACCCCACCCAAAGCTGTCCTATCACTATTATCTAAATTGTACGATGCATATGTACACACCCTGTCTAACTCCACATCATCCACACCCCCACTTGTCCAGTACTTTTCATACCACATATCTGCATATGCACTCATACCCTTCATATTTCTTATCTCCTGCCCTGCTCTATAGATCCCCATCGCCTCATTTACCTCTAATCTCGGGATAGCCGTCAGCGCCTGCCTTTGCTTTCGATGTCGCAACACACACGCTGACGGTTTGTCCTCCACAAAACTTCTTCTAAAACTGCTTGCATCCTTACCATTTGAAACCGATCATTTTGCAATGTTCACAATCTTTCTTTTATGTCTACTATATCGTCCATGGGAAAAACACCACCACCCATCTCCTGCCCATAACAACCTCTTAATCGATCCTCTAAATAATTCGCAAGCTCATATTTTAAATTATTTATACGTTTACCCTCCCTCACATAGTACTTTCTTATCCTTTCTTTAGCCACATAATCCCACCATGTTACAATGTCATCCATCTCCTGAGCTTCCTTGTAAAGCTCTTTCCATAAAATAGAAAAACCCTCCAAACCTTCTTCATCACTCAACACACTAATGTTCAATTTCCAATAAGTCCTATATATTTCCGCCAGCTCCTCCCACCCTACTTCCACCACTACAGCCCTATGATCTGACATAGCCGCCTCAACGGTATTAAAAGATTTCGCAACAACCCCTTGAGAAAGATACACTCTATCTAACTTTACTGTGTATTCCCTCCTAACAAAAGTATGTTCTGTTTCCCCCCCCCAAACGCATCACGTAACCTAACGTCCCTCAGCAAATCCCTGAGAGTTACAGACATATGTCCTGCCCCTTTTGGTTCTACGTCAGCCGCCCTAATAACGCAGTTCCAGTCACCCCCCACTATTGCTACTTTCGGAAGTGCACGCAAGAAATAGACAAGATCCTCGCACACAAAATCCTTCCTTACCTGGATGCTATTCTCTGCAGGCATATACACACTTACAAAAGATACACGCTTACCCATCCATGACCCATCCACACGCAACACTCTCCTCCCTCCCCCCTCACTTCTCTGCAAAATAAACGGGCTCGTCTCCTTTAAAATACCCACACCACCTTTTAAACGGGTAATTGGCAGGTCGTTACTTGATAACCTGCTATCTCTAACACCTTATCCTCCTTGAAATTATGTTCCTGGAGGAACACAACATCCACTCTATATTTATTAAGAAACATGCACAACCATTCTCTCTTTATTCTGTTACATAAGCCATTAACATTGACAGTCATACACCGAAGGCCTTTTAAATTTTCCACCCCTGCCTCTTCTCCTCACTCTTTTCACCACTAGAATTAGTATTTCTGTATGTTATCTTCACAATACCTTCTTTCCCCCCTCCCTTCTTCCTATGTTTCTTATCATGACCTCCCCATCGCCACCTCTTTCCTCTCCTACCACCCCAGTCTGCTTCCCAGACCTCTGTGCTGGCGTCAGTGTATCATCCGAGTCTGCCCTTTCCTTTGTTACAATAATGTCCCCCATAACATGGTCTGGGGAAGCCTCATGGTGAACCTCAACATCCACCTTACAATGATTTATTAATCCCACTGACGTCTCCGCCACACCATCATTCCCCAAATTCTCATATCGTTGACAAGCTGGAAGCGATAACTCTCCAGCTACTTCTTGCTCAGATGTAACATCCTCCTCAGGCAGTGACAAGGTCTTCAAAACTTCCTCCAATTCTTCCTCTATTTCCAACACTTCCTCCCGTGGTACCATCCCTGCAGAAGTCACTGAAGGAGATTCTGGGGCAGAGAACTGAGGGGGCCACTCACCCCCAGTCCTAAAAGCTTGCTCCACCATTTCACTCCACAAACGACCACGCCCTCCCTCAGGTGATTGATCCTCACCTGCCACCCGTAAGACGGGCTGTGTCTTCTACCACAGGTTCAGGCACGTGTGTTTTCTTCTCACATGCTGCAGTTATGTGGTCATACTCACCACATAGGCGACACGTACGCCTTTGCCCGGGATATAAAACCATGACCTGTGTCTTGAATTCCTGAAGATAAACGTAAGACGGTATGGAATGTCTCAATGTCATTTTAAGGTTAAAAGTACCTTCTGGCAAACCTGTGTAGGCACCTGCTACCCACATACCATGCTGGGCAAAATGAACTGTCCCATATTTCTCGAAGACTTTTCTGATATCAGCTTCATCCGCCTCAAAGGGAACGTTACGTAACTTTATCCAGGTATAATGGCTGGAAGCATCAACCATTCTCACACGTACAGCAGGTGTAACATCAAGACTCACGTCCTGGAAACGAGTAACCAACGTTTCATAAACCGTTGCAGTGAGCAGTTTCACAAAGATTCTATGCGCTCCATTTAAAGCCACTCCATATAATTCTCCATCTTGAATTCCATAGGTCTCTCTGATGATCTTAGGTAAGAGAACCTGCGCTGAACTGGGCGAAATCGTCCCCCAGAGAAGCTCAATACTAATAGTATTTATCCGGCGCCTATGACAAACTGCCATGTTGACAGCAGTAATTTTCCTGAGGTGTCAACAGAGGCGCGACAGCACCACCTCACACCACTGCAGCCAGGCAAGTGAGGAGCGTCTGCGCAGTAGGTCCACACGGCCCGAGAGCGATGAGGACAATGATGGTTAGTTTTATTCCATCTTCTTCACAACTGTCTATATATCCTATATTTCACCAATAATCAGCTTAAAGAATGGTAAAAGTGTGAGACATTTTGGAATCTTTATCGTGGAAACGTTTCTCTAACAAGTGACTTCTTCAGTTCATTACAGAAAAGAACGGTGGAGGATGAGGAGTTTGTTAACCTGGAGTCAATGTGTTCAGTCCACATGGCTCACAAAATCGTAATGACACGATTGCAAACAAACCATACCACGGGCGGGATTTGAACCCGCAGTCAGAGAGTCTCAAAACTCCAGACTCTCTGACCGCACGTTTAAATCCCGCCCGTGGTGTGGTGTGTTCAGTCCCTCTGTGATGAGATTGATAGACTGAATACATCGACTCCAGGCTGAGAGACTGATTACCCTCAACCTCCTGCCCCTCTTCCATCGTTCTCCTCAATATTGGACTGAAGAAGCCACTCGTTGGCGAAACTTTTCCACAGTTAAGATTCCCAAATGTAACACAAATGTCTCACTCTGACACTTGTCAGTTCTAAACCATTAACATCACTACCAGTGTGAATAAAAGGGTAACTACCATTCGTAAAGGTCAACCAATCGTAGTGAGGAGTGAGCTCCAGGGTAACTTACCTTGTAACTAGAGTTAGTCCTGGGTGTTAGTTCCTCTCCAACTTTCAGATGGTTAACAAACATACGAGAGTATTTACTTATTGTAAATACTCTAAATAACATTTGTGGTGGAAATACACTGGTACTCAAAAAGTAAGCATTTGGAGTATAGTTAATTACAAGGATTTTTTTTATTGCTTTATTGATTACTCCCTAGAATAGTAGTACCTGTGTAATTATGCCATAATGTGTTTGTAATTATATCGTGGAGTGTTTTTAATTATACTATCGTGTGTATGTTTTATACCGTCGTGTGTTAATTAATGTCAAGCATTTTACAGCTTAGTGTTGTGGTGACGTCACGTGTTGTATTATGTACCTTCTTGTCTAACCTCTTGTTTTATAGCGTATTTTGTGTACAGTATTTTAGAAAAAAAAGAAAAGCTGAAGTTGGGGAACTAAGAAGAGGAAGGAAAGAACCTGTAACGACTGAACCTTACAGAGACAAAAACAGTTGAAAATGGTTTGAATGCGAATCCCAAAAACGAATCGTACTTGATGAGACGCAAAGAAAAGGCCGAAGAAAAATGTGAACAGTAAAGAAAAATGAAAGGTCAAATTTTTATCTCCTTAAATTTCACAAAACAACTACCTTGAAGGTCGGAATTAGAAACCACTCACGTCTACATGTAACAAAAATATCTGTAAAATGTTTAAACATCTACAAAAAACTCTGCTACTACATCACAAACCATCCTAACACTAAAAAAAAAAAATCTTCACAAATACTAGCACACCACACTACAAACAACTCATTTAAAAAAATCATCAAGCACGCAGAAACCTCCGTCATTAACATTTCTACACTAAGAATGCTCCTGACTCCCCTCTGACATTAACAGTAAGTTCCACGTAGAAAATGGGTTCAGTGAAAGATATCACTAGGAAGCATACAAAAGAAGGGTAAAGTAATGGCAGATAATTCTCCTCCCTGGCACATATAAGAGAGTATGGAGTCCTGACCTGACTTCCTACTGGTGATCTTCATGTTACTTCTGAACCTCAGCCAGGAAGACTAACCTGACTTCTATCTGCTGATTCACATGTTACTTGTCAGACTCACTCAACGGCACAATCGTCTTGGTAATAAATGTAGATTAATGTTTTAAGTGGATGAATCCAAAACATTTCTCAGGTTTTAAAACTTGAAGTTGAATAAATACAGTTTCGGAATACAGGTTTTGACTTAATAACTCTGCATTATTTGCTGTTGCTGATATTCGCTATTGTTATTATTATTATTATTATTATTATTACATACAAAGATCCTTTGTACTCTTTATTTCTTATATTAAACACAACAAATACTGGTACAGAAGGTTTCGCCCATCATGGGCTGACCCAAGATGGGCAAAACGTTGTATACATAATGAACTCTTCTAAATTTGTCTTTTCACCAACTGTCAGTGTATTGCTATTGTCTCCACCTTATAAACACAGACAGACAGGCAGACACAGACAGACAGACACACACACACACACACACACACACACACACACACACACACACACACACACACACACACACACACACACACACACACACACACACGCACACACACACACACTCACACACACACACACAGGAGCTGAATCTCGACCCCTGCAACCACAAATAGGTAACTAGACACACGTACACACACGCCACAGAGTAGTCAGTAAGTGGAATAGTTTGGGAAGCGATGTAGTGGAGGCAGGATCCATACATAGCTTTAAGCAGAGGTACGATAAAGCTCACGGCTCAGGGAGAGTGACCTAGTAGCGATCAGTGAAGAGGCGGGGCCAGGAGCTCGGACTCGACCCCCGCAACCTCAACTAGGTGAGTACAACTAGGTGAGTACACACACACACACACACACACACACAGGCTGAGAAAGGAAGGTGGGGAGTTCACAGGAAGCGACCAAGAAGTATGTGAGGAGCTCAACATGAGATTTAAGGAAGTATTTACAGTGGAAACAGAAAGGACTCCGGTAAGTCAGAATAAGGAGGTACACCAAGAAGAGATATACCAGGGATATACCAGGCCACAGGGTTCCCGGCAAGGGTAGAAACATTGGGTGTGTTTCCTTACACCGGCTTTCTATATTCCCCATTACTAAAATGTGTACCTGGGTATTAGTGGACTGGTGTGGGTCGCATCCTGGGTATTAGTGGACTGGTGTGGGTCGCATCCTGGGTATTAGTGGACTGGTGTGGGTCGCATCCTGGGACAAAACTGACCTAATTTGCTCGAAATGCTCAGCATAACAAGCGGCTTTCTATATAGTAGCATGTCACTGATGTCAGCTATGGTCTGTATACCTTGTACATGTACTTGTAGAAATATAAATGACTTCAAGAGTGTATCAGTCTGTAGTGGAAGGAAGGCGGGGTAGTTGTCGGCCTAGGAAAGGTTGGAGGGAGGGGGTAAAGGAGGTTTTGTGTGCGAGGGGCTTGGACTTCCAGCAGGCATGCGTGAGCGTGTTTGATAGGAGTGAATGGTGACAAATGGTTTTTAATACTTGACGTGCTGTTGGAGTGTGAGCAAAGTAACATTTATGAAGGGGTTCAGGGAAACCGGCAGGCCGGACTTGAGTCCTGGAGATGGGAAGTACAGTGCCTGCACTCTGAAGGAGGGGTGTAAATGTTGCAGTTTAAAAACTGTAGTGTAAAGCACCCTTCTGGCAAGACAGTGATGGAGTGAATGATGGTGAAAGTTTTTCTTTTTCGGGCCACCCTGCCTTGGTGGGAATCGGCCAGTGTGATAATAAAAAAAATAAATAATATTATTATTATTATTATTATTATTATTATTATTATTATTATTATTATTATTATTATTATTATTATTATATTAAAGAACAAAGGGTTACACGGCCGTGACGTCACAGCCGTCACCTAGGGTCTCGCCACAGAGTTTGTCAACAAAGATGGAGGGACGCGGGTTCGATGGTAATCAGTAAGAAGCAAGACTCTCGTCAACTTATTCATGAACAAACTTCAGTACACAAAACTGCGTATAAGCGGAAATTAGATTTTGTTATCTGATAGAAGTTTTCTCGTGCGAAAGTTGTCATGGCTTGTGGGTGTGTGTGTGTTGACAACTCTGATCTTATGTGATCTTAGTGTGTTTACAACTCTGATCTTATGTGATCTTAGTGTGTTTACAACTCTGATCTTATGTGATCTTAGTGTGTTTACAACTCTGATCTTATGTGATCTTAGTGTGTTTACAACTCTGATCTTATGTGATCTTAGTGTGTTTACAACTCTGATCTTATGTGATCTTAGTGTGTTTACAACTCTGATCTTATGTGATCTTAGTGTGTTTACAACTCTGATCTTATGTGATCTTAGTGTGTTTACAACTCTGATCTTATGTGATCTTAGTGTGTTTACAACTCTGATCTTATGTGATCTTAGTGTGTTTACAACTCTGATCTTATGTGATCTTAGTGTGTTTACAACTCTGATCTTATGTGATCTTAGTGTGTTGACAACTCTGATCTTATGTGATCTTAGTGTGTTTACAACTCTGATCTTATGTGATCTTAGTGTGTTTACAACTCTGATCTTATGTGATCTTAGTGTGTTGACAACTCTGATCTTATGTGATCTTAGTGTGTTTACAACTCTGATCTTATGTGATCTTAGTGTGTTTACAACTCTGATCTTATGTGATCTTAGTGTGTTTACAACTCTGATCTTATGTGATCTTAGTGTGTTTACAACTCTGATCTTATGTGATCTTAGTGTGTTTACAACTCTGATCTTATGTGATCTTAGTGTGTTGACAACTCTGATCTTATGTGATCTTAGTGTGTTTACAACTCTGATCTTATGTGATCTTAGTGTGTTTACAACTCTGATCTTATGTGATCTTAGTGTGTTTACAACTCTGATCTTATGTGATCTTAGTGTGTTTACAACTCTGATCTTATGTGATCTTAGTGTGTTTACAACTCTGATCTTATGTGATCTTAGTGTGTTTACAACTCTGATCTTATGTGATCTTAGTGTGTTTACAACTCTGATCTTATGTGATCTTAGTGTGTTTACAACTCTGATCTTATGTGATCTTAGTGTGTTTACAACTCTGATCTTATGTGATCTTAGTGTGTTGACAACTCTGATCTTATGTGATCTTAGTGTGTTTACAACTCTGATCTTATGTGATCTTAGTGTGTTGACAACTCTGATCTTATGTGATCTTAGTGTGTTTACAACTCTGATCTTATGTGATCTTAGTGTGTTTACAACTCTGATCTTATGTGATCTTAGTGTGTTTGCAACTCTGATCTTATGTGATCTTAGTGTGTTTACAACTCTGATCTTATGTGATCTTAGTGTGTTGACAACTCTGATCTTATGTGATCTTAGTTGTTTTACAACTCTGATCTTATGTGATCTTAGTGTGTTTACAACTCTGATCTTATGTGATCTTAGTGTGTTGACAACTCTGATCTTATGTGATCTTAGTGTGTTTACAACTCTGATCTTATGTGATCTTAGTGTGTTTACAACTCTGATCTTATGTGATCTTAGTGTGTTTACAACTCTGATCTTATGTGATCTTAGTGTGTTTACAACTCTGATCTTATGTGATCTTAGTGTGTTTACAACTCTGATCTTATGTGATCTTAGTGTGTTTACAACTCTGATCTTATGTGATCTTAGTGTGTTTACAACTCTGATCTTATGTGATCTTAGTGTGTTTACAACTCTGATCTTATGTGATCTTAGTGTTTACAACTCTGATCTTATGTGATCTTAGTGTGTTTACAACTCTGATCTTATGTGATCTTAGTGTGTTTACAACTCTGATCTTATGTGATCTTAGTGTGTTGACAACTCTGATCTTATGTGATCTTAGTGTGTTTACAACTCTGATCTTATGTGATCTTAGTGTGTTGACAACCCTGATCTTATGTGATCTTAGTGTGTTTACAACTCTGATCTTATGTGATCTTAGTGTGTTTACAACTCTGATCTTATGTGATCTTAGTGTGTTTACAACTCTGATCTTATGTGATCTTAGTGTGTTGACAACCTGATCTTATGTGATCTTAGTGTGTTTACAACTCTGATCTTATGTGATCTTAGTGTGTTTACAACTCTGATCTTATGTGATCTTAGTGTGTTTACAACTCTGATCTTATGTGATCTTAGTGTGTTTACAACTCTGATCTTATGTGATCTTAGTGTGTTTACAACTCTGATCTTATGTGATCTTAGTGTGTTTACAACTCTGATCTTATGTGATCTTAGTGTGTTTACAACTCTGATCTTATGTGATCTTAGTGTGTTTACAACTCTGATCTTATGTGATCTTAGTGTGTTTACAACTCTGATCTTATGTGATCTTAGTGTGTTTACAACTCTGATCTTATGTGATCTTAGTGTGTTTACAACTCTGATCTTATGTGATCTTAGTGTGTTGACAACTCTGATCTTATGTGATCTTAGTGTGTTTACAACTCTGATCTTATGTGATCTTAGTGTGTTTACAACTCTGATCTTATGTGATCTTAGTGTGTTTACAACTCTGATCTTATGTGATCTTAGTGTGTTTACAACTCTGATCTTATGTGATCTTAGTGTGTTTACAACTCTGATCTTATGTGATCTTAGTGTGTTTACAACTCTGATCTTATGTGATCTTAGTGTGTTTACAACTCTGATCTTATGTGATCTTAGTGTGTTTACAACTCTGATCTTATGTGATCTTAGTGTGTTTACAACTCTGATCTTATGTGATCTTAGTGTGTTTACAACTCTGATCTTATGTGATCTTAGTGAAGCTCATTAAGTTGTCAGGGCGAGTGAATGAGTGTATATTAGTTTATCACTGTGAACTTCTGTGAACTTAGTGAGCTTAGTAAAGTTTATGTAACTTTCTCTACTTTCTCTTTACTCAAATATTGGACGCAGTTATTTTTCATTTGCTTTTTATTCACATATTCTTTTTTTCATAATTTTGTCAGTCAGTATAATGTGATAAACTGTTTATGTAATGTGTGCGTCTGAGTGTATTTCTTAGTTACCACTTGTCAAAGGGTCTTTTTGAAAGACACTTGTTCTGTTGTGTATTGTGTGTAAATATTATTATTATTACTATTATTATTGTGTGTAAATGTGTGTGTTGTGTGTGTGTGTGTGTGTGTGTGTGTTGTGTGTGTGTGTGTGTGTGTGTGTGTGTGTGTGTGTGTGTGTGTGTGGTGTGTGTGTGTGTGTGTGTGTTAGTTACCATTTTGTCCTAGCACATGTCGATTAGACACTAGGCCCTGTTTATATGAGTACGTGTGTGTGTGCGTGTGCGTGCGTGTGTCGTGTGTGTTGTGTGTGTGTGTGTGTGTTGTGTGTGGTGTGTGTGGGTGGGTGGGTGTGGTAGTGGGTGTGGTAGTGTGTGTACTCACCTATTTGTACTCACCTATTTGTGGTTGCAGGGGTCGAGTCCTAGCTCCTGGCCCCGCCTCTTCACCGGTTGCTACTAGGCCCTCTCTCTCCCCGCTCCATGAGCTTTATCAAACCTCGTCTTAAAACTGTGTATGGTTCCTGCCTCCACTACGTCATTTTCTAGGCTATTCCACTGCCTTACAACTCTATGACTGAAGAAATACTTCCTACTATCTCTCTGACTCATTTGTGTCTTCAACTTCCAATTGTGGCCTCTTGTTTCTGTGTCCCCTCCCTGGAACATCCTGTCCTTGTCCACCTTGTCTATTCCACGCAGTATTTTATATGTCGTTATCATGTCTCCCCTGACCCTCCTGTCCTCCAGTGTGGTCAGGCCGATTTCCCTTAATCTTTCCTCATAGGACATTCCCCTTAGCTCTGGAACTAACCTTGTCGCAAACCTTTGTACTTTCTCTAGTTTCTTGACGTGCTTTATCAAGTGCGGGTTCCAAACAGGTGCTGCATACTCCAGTATGGGCCTGACATACACGGTGTACAGTGTCTTGAATGATTCCTTACTAAGGTATCGGAATGCTGTTCTCAGGTTTGCCAGGCGCCCATATGCTGCAGCAGTTATCTGATTGATGTGTGCTTCCGGAGACATGCTCGGTGTTATACTCACCCCAAGATCTTTCTCCTTGAGTGAGGTTTGCAGTCTTTGGCCACCTAGCCTATACTCTGTCTGTGGTCTTCTGTGCCCCTCCCCCATCTTCATGACTTTGCATTTGGCAGGATTAAATTCGAGAAGCCATTTGCTGGACCAGGTGTCCAGTCTGTCCAGGTCTCTTTGAAGTCCTGCCTGGTCCTCATCAGATTTAATTCTCCTCATTAACTTCACATCATCTGCAAACAGGGACACTTCTGAGTCTAACCCTTCCGTCATGTCGTTCACATATACCAAAAATAGCACTGGTCCTAGGACCGACCCCTGTGGGACCCCGCTCCTCACAGGTGCCCACTGTGATACATCATTACGTACCATGACTCGTTGTTGCCTCCCTGTCAGGTATTCTCTGATCCATTGCAGTGCCCTTCCTGTTATATGCGCCTGATGCTCTAGCTTCTGCACTAATCTCTTGTGAGGAACTGTGTCAAAGGCCTTCTTGCAGTGTGTGTGTGTGTGTGTGTGTGTGTGTGTGTGTGTGTGTGTGTGTGTGTGTGTGTGTGTGTGTGTGCGTGTGTGCGTGTGTGTGTGTGTGTGTGTGTGTGTATGTACTTTCCTATATGTGGTTCAAGGGTTGAGTCTCAGCTCCTGGTCCTTCCTCCAGTATAGCCTCTTACTAGAGCCATTACTTCCTTGTCAAGTGTGACCTGTCGTATCTTCTCTTAAAACTACAGTACTGGCTTTATTATTATGGATATTTTAAAAACTCAATATTTCTCTACTAAACATCAATTAAACCATTTCATTGAGTGTTAATGGATTTATTTTGATACATTATTACAGGGCAACTATTTAAAATTAACTTTAGAAGAGTTTAAGAATATTGTGAGTTTCTGTCTGGCAGCTGTGAAGGAACAATGGATGGCAGCACTGAATTACACGGGCCTCGAGGTCGTGTCCAGACTTGTCTCAGCTGCTGTCCTGGTGTTTCGGGTTTCATATTGTGATTATTACAATTGTTTGTGTTTTCTGTGCCTCTGCTTGTACTAAAAGCGCCTTTTGTTTTTTCTTGCAGTTTATTAATCAGAAAGAAAGTCAGCAGAAATGGATAAAAATAGTGATTTGAGTCTCGCAGAGTGGGACAGATTTTAGCTTTATTGATTGATATAACAGAAATAGCAATAAAACTTGGTATTTCAACTCAAACAATCAGCAAAATTAAGAAGAAACTGAATTACGATCAACTTTTAAGCGCAAAAAGAGTGGAAAGATGTGACAAGCAATGGAAAACAACAAGATTAGACAAAAATAATACAAATGTCTCTTAACAAGAGAAGGACATCTTGCAGGCAGATTTGCTGTGACCAGGAGCAGCAGGTCTGTTAATGAGAAGCTTCTGGAGAGTGGACTGAAAGTACATCGTCCCAGAAAGAAGCAGCAAACTTACCGAACCCAAGATATTGGAAGGTTTAGGCTGAGCTGAGCATCACAGTGAGTGGACTTCTGGACAATGACAGCAGGTAAGAATTACATTTAGTTATTTAGTTCATTTTTTGTTAAGATAAGATAAGATTTCGTTCGGATTTTTAACCCCGGAGGGTTAGCCACCCAGGATAACCCAAGAAAGTCAGTGCGTCATCGAGGACTGTCTAACTTATTTCCATTGGGGTTCTTAATCTTGTCCCCCAGGATGCGACCCACACCAGTCGACTAACACCCAGGTACCTATTTGCTGCTAGGTGAACAGGACAACAGGTGTAAAGAAACGTGTCGAAATGTTTCCACCCACCGGGAATCGAACCCGGGCCCACTCCACCACTCCCCCTCCACCACTTGTATTATCTTTTCTATTGTTGCAGGTGGTGTTGTCTGACGAATCAAGCATTGCAGTGTTGGATGACAGTGCTGACTGTAACAAGGCTGTCAGGTGAGGATTTTATGTCCGAATGTCTCAAGAAGACGGTCAAATTTCCTCAGAAAATCTTGGTGTGGGAAGCCATTTCCATTCATGGAACAAGTCGTTTGCACATTGTTGATGGTACCATCAACCAGGTTAAGTGCACAGAAGTGCTACAACGACAATTACTGCCTCAGGTAAAGGACTGGTATGGTGATGGACGTTGGATATTCCCACAAGACTCGGCACCATGTGCACGGTAAAACCTGTAATGTCGAGGTGTGCACAATATAGCGCTGAGCTGATCCACTGGGCTGGAAATTACTCCGACATGAACGCTGAGAGTTTATAGTCTGTACTGAAGAAAGAAATACACGAAGTTCCCATTACTAACAAACTGCAGCTCATAAAAAGCCTTATTAAGGTTGTGTTTCATTCCGTCAGAATAAATGAATTATGCAAAACTTTGATGGCTGGCATGATGCCCACACGTGTTAAAGAACCTGTGGACTTATGGATGCTAGCGAGAGTTAAACCAATGTAAAATAGTTTATCAATACTGGTGTATCAAAATAAATCCATTAACAGTCACTGAAATTGGTTTAATTGACCTTTTAGTAGAAAAATATCCATTTTTTTTTTTAGAAAATCATAATTAATGCTAGTGCTGTGTATATGAAGCTTACCTCAACCAAAATTTCGTCAAGGTTATTGGATATCCTGACCCATCAGAGGATGAAGCGGTACTTCCTGGTATCCTTATCTATTTTTAACTTCGAACTATACCCCCTCGTACCTGTTTCTCGCCTCTCATAAAGTCTATCCCATGTCTACCCTGACAGTTCTTCTGATAATTTTGTATGTTGTTATTATGTCTTTATATAGTCTTCTTTCCTTTAATGTCTTCAAGCTCAATTCCTTTATCATTTCCTCAATGTTCATGCACCTTAACTCTGGGAGTGCTATGTACTCACCTAGTTGTGCTTGCCTAATTGCAGCTGCAGGAGTCGAGTCTCAGTTCTTGGCCCTGCCTCTCTGCTGGTCGTTACTTGTTTCATTTGTTCTTGGTTGAGTGAGCTTTATAATACCTTGTGTTAACGCTATGTAGAGATTCTGCTTCTGCCATTCAAGGATAAAAAAGGATTTTCTAGCATCCCTGTGGCTCGTCTGTGCTTTTAACATCCGTGTGGCTCGTCTGTGCTTTTAACATCCGTGTGGCTCGTCTGTGCTTTTAACATCCCTGGGGCTCGTCTGTGCTTTTAACATCCCTGGGGCTCGTCTGTGCTTTTAACATCCCTGTGGCTCGTCTGTGCTTTTAACATCCCTGGGGCTCGTCTGTGCTTTTAACATCCGTGTGGCTCGTCTGTGCTTTTAACATCCGTGTGGCTCGTCTGTGCTTTTAACATCCGTGTGGTTCGTCTGTGCTTTTAACATCCGTGTGGCTCGTCTGTGCTTTTAACATCCCTGGGGCTCGTCTGTGCTTTTAACATCCGTGTGGCTCGTCTGTGCTTTTAACATCCCTGGGGCTCGTCTGTGCTTTTAACATCCCTGTGGCTCGTCTGTGCTTTTAACATCCCTGTGGCTCGTCTGTGCTTTTAACATCCCTGTGGCTCGTCTGTGCTTTTAACATCCGTGTGGCTCGTCTGTGCTTTTAACATCCGTGTGACTCGTCTGTGCTTTTAACATCCCTGGGGCTCGTCTGTGCTTTTAACATCCCTGTGGCTCGTCTGTGCTTTTAACATCCGTGTGGCTCGTCTGTGCTTTTAACATCCGTGTGGCTCGTCTGTGCTTTTAACATCCCTGGGGCTCGTCTGTGCTTTTAACATCCCTGGGGCTCGTCTGTGCTTTTAACATCCGTGTGGCTCGTCTGTGCTTTTAACATCCCTGGGGCTCGTCTGTGCTTTTAACATCCCTGTGGCTCGTCTGTGCTTTTAACATCCCTGTGGCTCGTCTGTGCTTTTAACATCCGTGTGGCTCGTCTGTGCTTTTAACATCCCTGTGGCTCGTCTGTGCTTTTAACATCCGTGTGGCTCGTCTGTGCTTTTAACATCCCTGTGGCTCGTCTGTGCTTTTAACATCCCTGTGGCTCGTCTGTGCTTTTAACATCCGTGTGGCTCGTCTGTGCTTTTAACATCCCTGTGGCTCGTCTGTGCTTTTAACATCCGTGTGGCTCGTCTGTGCTTTTAACATCCCTGTGGCTCGTCTGTGCTTTTAACATCCCTGTGGCTCGTCTGTGCTTTTAACATCCGTGTGGCTCGTCTGTGCTTTTAACATCCCTGTGGCTCGTCTGTGCTTTTAACATCCGTGTGGCTCGTCTGTGCTTTTAACATCCCTGTGGCTCGTCTGTGCTTTTAACATCCCTGTGGCTCGTCTGTGCTTTTAACATCCCTGTGGCTCGTCTGTGCTTTTAACATCCGTGTGGCTCGTCTGTGCTTTTAACATCCCTGTGGCTCGTCTGTGCTTTTAACATCCGTGTGGCTCGTCTGTGCTTTTAACATCCCTGGGGCTCGTCTGTGCTTTTAACATCCCTGTGGCTCGTCTGTGCTTTTAACATCCCTGTGGCTCGTCTGTGCTTTTAACATCCGTGTGGCTCGTCTGTGCTTTTAACATCCGTGTGGCTCGTCTGTGCTTTTAACATCCCTGTGGCTCGTCTGTGCTTTTAACATCCCTGTGGCTCGTCTGTGCTTTTAACATCCCTGTGGCTCGTCTGTGCTTTTAACATCCGTGTGGCTCGTCTGTGCTTTTAACATCCGTGTGGCTCGTCTGTGCTTTTAACATCCCTGTGGCTCGTCTGTGCTTTTAACATCCCTGTGGCTCGTCTGTGCTTTTAACATCCCTGTGGCTCGTCTGTGCTTTTAACATCCCTGTGGCTCGTCTGTGCTTTTAACATCCCTGTGGCTCGTCTGTGCTTTTAACATCCCTGTGGCTCGTCTGTGCTTTTAACATCCCTGTGGCTCGTCTGTGCTTTTAGCTTCCTTGTGACCTCGTGTGCCTGAGACCCACCTCTCTAATAGACTATCTCTCTCAGTTCCTTACAGTATAGTGTATATCGTAATCATTACATCTCTGGTCCATCTACTCTTTAATGTCGTCAGGTTTAGATTGTCTAGCTTTACTTCGTACTTCATAACTCTTAGCTTTGGAACTATTTTCGTTGCGAAGCTTTAGCACATTTTTCCAGTTTCCTTACAAGTATTACTGGATGCAGGTTCCCTAATGGCGCTGCATACTTCAAGATGGGCCTAACAAATGTATATACAAGGTAGTGGAAGCCATCTTGTTCATGTTCCTGGAAGCTACCCGTAAATTTGCCAGTTTCGCTTCTGCTGCAGCGACTGATGTGAGCACAGAGGTATAAGCTTGGAACTATGTTCACCCCTGAAGACTTCTTCGTGGGAGGCTTGCAGCCTTTGTCCCCCGAGGCTGTGCACTATTTCCAGACATCTTTGTCCATCTCCGATTTTCGTAACTTTACATTTGCTGGGGTTAAATTCCAATAGTAATTGTCAGACGAATCCTGCATCTTGTCTAGATCCATTTGTAGTCTTTCTTGGTTCACTCCTATTTGTATTCTCCCAATTAGATCATATCATCTACAAACAGCAACAACTCTATCTCAGTTTTCTCTGTCATATCGTTTACATAAAAAAGTAACGGTACTGGACCAAATAATGACAGTTGTGCAACCCCACTCGTAATATTCACCCATTTCGACACCTCACTGACAGTAATTCACTGTGTACTCACCTAGCTGAGGTTGCGGGGGTCGAGTCCGAGCTCCTGGCCCCGCCTCTTCACTGATCGCTACTAGGTCACTCTCCCTGAGCCGTGAGCTTTATCATACCTCTGCTTAAAGCTATGTATGGATCCTGCCTCCACTACATCGCTTCCCAAACTATTCCACTTACTGACTACTCTGTGGCTGAAGAAATACTTCCTAACATCCCTGTGACTCATCTGTGTCTTCAGCCTCCAACTGTGTCCCCTTGTTACTGTGTCCAATCTCTGGAACATCCTGTCTTTGTCCACCTTGTCAATTCCTCTCAGTATTTTGTATGTCGTTATCATGTCCCCCCTATCTCTCCTGTCCTCCAGTGTCGTCAGGTTGATTTTCCTTAACCTCTCCTCGTAGGACATACCTCTTAGCTCTGGGACTAGTCTTGTTACAAACCTTTGCACTTTCTCTAGTTTCTTTACGTGCTTGGCTAGGTGTGGGTTCCAAACTGGTGCCGCATACTCCAATATGGGCCTAACATACACGGTGTACAGGGTCCTGAATGATTCCTTATTAAGATGTCGGAATGCTGTTCTGAGGTTTGCTAGGCGCCCATATGCTGCAGCAGTTATTTGGTTGATGTGCGCTTCAGGAGATGTGCCTGGTGTTATACTCACCCCAAGATCTTTTTTCTTGAGTGAGGTTTGTAGTCTCTGGCCCCCTAGACTGTACTCCGTCTGCGGTCTTCTTTGCCCTTCCCCAATCTTCATGACTTTGCACTTGGTGGGATTGAACTCCAGGAGCCAATTGCTGGACCAGGTCTGCAGCCTGTCCAGATCCCTTTGTAGTTCTGCCTGGTCTTCGATCGAGTGAATTCTTCTCATCAACTTCACGTCATCTGCAAACAGGGACACCTCAGAGTCTATTCCTTCCGTCATGTTTTTCACAAATACCAGAAACAGCACTGGTCCTAGGACTAACCCCTGTGGGACCCCGCTGGTCACAGGTGCCCACTCTGACACCTCGCCACGTACCATGACTCGCTGCTGTCTTCCTGACAAGTATTCCCTGATCCATTGTAGTGCCTTCCCTGTTATCCCTGCTTGGTCCTCCAGTTTTTGCACCAGTCTCTTGTGTGGAACTGTGTCAAACGCCTTCTTGCAGTCCAAGAAAATGCAATCCACTCACCCCTCTCTCTCTTGTCTTACTGCTGTCACCCTGTCATAGAACTCCAGTAGGTTTGTGATACAGGATCGTTGCTTTCTAGGTGTTCCACCACTCTTCTCCTGATAATCTTCTCCATGATTTTGCATACTATACATGTCAGTGACACTGGTCTGTAGTTTAATGCTTCATGTCTGTCTCCTTTTTTAAAGATTGGGACTACATTTGCTGTCTTCCATGCCTCAGGCAATCTCCCTGTTTCGATACATGTATTGAATATTGTTGTTAGGGGTACACATAGCGCCTCTGCTCCCTCTCTCAATTCCCATGGGGAGATGTTATCTGGCCCCATTGCCTTTGAGGTATCTAGCTCACTCAGAAGCCTCTTCACTTCTTCCTCGGTTGTGTGCACTGTGTCCAGCACATGGTGGTGAGCCCCACCTCTCCGTCTTTCTGGAGCCCCTTCAGTCTCCTCTGTGAACACTTCTTTGAATCTCTTGTTGAGTTCCTCACATACTTCACGGTCATTTCTTGTTGTCTCTCCTCCTTCCTTCCTTAGCCTGATTACCTGGTCCTTGACTGTTGTTTTCCTCCTGATGTGGCTGTACAACAGTTTCGGGTCAGATTTGGCTTTCGCTGCTATGTCGTTTTCATATTGTCTTTGGGCCTCCCTTCTTATCTGTGCATATTCGTTTCTGGCTCTACGACTGCT